TTTTAATGGGCCCTAAAAGGAAGACAGAGAGAGGACAACAAATACAAAGATTGGCACACGGTGGCGAGGAGCAGGCTTCCCCCTCGAGCGCCACTCTTACATCAGAGCTGCTTTTCATGTGTGGACAGACAGAGATACAACACTTAACAGGTGCGTGCAGGGATAATGTCTCTCTCACGCACTGATGCAAATAGCCCCTCACACTCACACACACACAGACACAGACTCACACACAGACACACACACACATACAAACAGGAGTGTGGGTAAACAGCTCCACAATTTTATTGGCAATTATGGCTGAAGGTCACACATCAGCGGAGGGGCTGAGTTCCAGGAAAAAAAAGCCTGGTTCTTATGTAACCTCAGCCCAGAGTTGGCAGGGGCCCAGGAATCGTGCAGCCTGCAGGCAAGGGAAACTAGGACACAGCCTCAATGACTGCCACAGCCCCACACCTTCATTTTAAAAACTCTCTAACACACAGACAGCCCACACACAGCCACAGTGCCCCCTATTGGTGCTGAAAGGAGATAAAGGGGAAACACCCTTGGAAAAAAGCTGCACGTTGCCAGAGACAGTATAAAACCTGCATGAGAGAACAAAGGCGATTTTATGGCTTTATTATCTTGATGTTTTTTCTTTTTTATAAAACCACGCATAGGTAGGGAACACCAACTTAAATGAATCATAAATCATTAAAATTGGGATTGCTACTTTCTGACATGTGTATTTCTTTGGTTATTACGCTCCTGTTGAAAACAAGTCTTTTATTTCAAATACATGATCTATGTCACCTGAACAGTGCTGCACTGACCTCTTTATTTCATGTGGCTTTTATTATGTAGGATTTCTTTTTGCGTGCATATCAGCCTCTTCTTGAACACTTTGCCCAGAAGATAGTATGTAAGTAAGTAAATAAGTAAGTATGAGGCATGTAAATGTCCAGCGTGAGGACAGCGAGCAGACACACACAGCACTGGCAGCCAGCACTGGCAGCCGGCCCAGCCAGCGAGTGACTCACCTTGGAACTTGGAAAACCACAGTTCTGTAGAGCAACATGTAGTAAAGCCACAGCACCAGCACACACCCCCCTCTGTCTCTCTGCCTCTTACCATTTTGAATTCATCCACACTGCCTGTTTTACAGCAGACAGTGCAGCAGGTGTGGAAGACAGAACCAACCTACTACTACTTGTTACCAGCTGTGCCTAGAGACCCCGCTAACTACAACACGAGGCCATGGCAGCTGCTACAACACGAGACAGATACTACAGCAGCTACTAGTGTTACGCAGACATAACAGACAGGAGCTCAAGGAAACAAGGGCATAAATACAAGAAAAGGAGAAACAACCTTAGGCAAATCCATCTCATCATCAAAGGCCCTGAGCTGAAAGAGAACACAGGGTTTAGAGGGTTAGATAACTTCACAGGGAGGTGAAGTCAGTGATAGAGCAGGATTCAGTATGTTAGTTGAGTGAGTTCCGCCTGCAGATGTACTTATTTATTTCCACAGTTAAGTATAAATAGGACCTGTGAATGGAGTGAGCAGAGTTAGTGCAGTCTCATACAGCGGTGAAGCATATCAAAGAGGTGACTGCAGAGGAGAAAGTGAATGTATGTATATGTGCCTGTGTGTGTTTACTTGTTTTTGTCATCTCTTCAGAACCTTTTCCAGTGTAAACACTAACCCTGAACAGTGGCCCTCATGAGAACCAAAGCCCAGTCCTAGTGAGGCCAAACGTAATTTCTGATGTCCTGGTTAAAGGTAGGGTTGGTAATTTGTTTCTTAAACACTTTTTATCTTATTTGTTGACATCATCTTCACGTCCCGATATTCTGGAAAAAGGCAAAAAAAAAGCCGACGTCTGTGGCCCCTCGCAGGACTGGAACAAACATGACCAATCATTTCATTCAGACCGAAGGGGGCGGAAAGCATCAGGTGTATTTTCAAAGTGTAGCCTGCTAGCTTTTCCAGGATTACCAACCCTAGCTTTAAGATTAGGCATGAATAAGTTAGGAATAAGGTTTTGCTGCGGCTGTCCACAATAAATGGAAGTCTATGCAAAGTCCTAATATGGTTAGCTGCACAAAAATGTGTGTGAGTGTGTGTGTGTGCGTGTATACGTTTGCCTCTAAAGGTTGTTAGTTCCTTGTTAGTTATATGTTGCTGTTTTTGTGTTAAGACGTAGCAGCTTTGTATAAACTGTATTATCATAAATTGATGGGCATATTTCATTTATAGTTCCTTAAAGGGTTACGCCTTTCTCCTTATTGAACATATGTCACATATAGTATAATCAATTCGAAAAAAACACCATGTCACGGTCACTCAAGTGTCTCATCCCACTTTAGAAATACCGTGACGTCTGCACTTGGCAGCTCCTCCTACCTTCTCTCCATAACCTCGGTCTTTAGTCATCATCTCTCGCAGCGTCTGCAGAACTTTGATGCACAGCCGCTCCTCATTTTCCTCCAGCAGCTGCTTGGTATGTTTGATCAGCCTGCGCAAGCACATTGATTCATAAGGGCCTCATTTCTGGGTACATTTACATTCAATTATGGACATATTTGTAACCCTTACTTGCATATGAAACCCCCGCTCTCACACTTCTTGCGTGAGTCTGTGTTTTCGGGGAAGAGCATCTCAGGCCGATGCAGCACGTCCACCAAAACTGACAACTCAGCCTGGACCAGAGGACGCAGACGGTCCTCCAGAGCCGACACAATGTCCTAGAGCGCAGACGAATAAACACACTTAATGCTTGTATGAATGTCAAATCATGAATGACGCACAAACACACATACACTCATATACACACACACACACACACACACACGTACTGTACCTGCAGCCTCTCGATAATGTTCCTGTAGTCGCGTGAGGCAGTCACCACAGAGTCTCTGCGTGCGGCGTTGCGGGCAGACAGTCTCCAGCTCATGGCGGTCTTTTGCACGATGTTGTTGGACTTGACAAACAGATTGTTCACTTGATTGTCCAGGTCCACTGGGATGGCTATAGCTCTGCCTTTAGCTGTCAGGTATACACACACAGGGACACACACTGACTCAGACTCTATAAGTATGTGCTTGTGAGACATGAATTTTAGGAAGATGACGTGAGTGTTGAGATGGGTAGTGTATTGTTCTTACCAACATCAGAGAGCACCTTTATACAGTTCTCCACAGAGCCCTTCTGGACTGGGACCAGCCAGTTACAGTGGTAGACCCTGAACACAGCCTGCAACAGCTGCACAAAGACCGGCTGCCTGGTCTGATTCGACGACAAAAGAAAAGGCAGAGGGACTGCAGATTATCATTATTTTCTAAAATTATCATTTTTTTAAATGTATCATTACATTTATCTGACTGGAAGTAACGTCTCTAGTCATGAAAGTCAGAAAAATGTCCCATGAGGAAATGAAAGATCTGCCATCTACAGCACCTGTGGGCGGGACTGTGGGCTTTTTGTTTTTGTAACACACACACACACACACACACACACACGCACGCACGCGCACACACGCGCACACACGCGCACACACCTGTCTGTGTGTGATATAGGAGACAGCACCTGCATTGTGAGATCAGCTTGCTGACACAGTGGGGCTTTGTTACTTTTTTACAGAGACCCATCAATCCCAGAGTAGACATGTGCCCAAATCCCGCCCGGTGAACACCCTGCTGGATTAAATCTCAATAAATACCTGAAATATTTTTCCCAACAGAGACGCCTGCAGCAGAGGATACAAGCAGTGAGGAAATTTAACATGCACAGGAAATAAGCAATACGCTTCATGCACATACTTCCAATAACATTATGATGCGTTTCAGAGGCGAAACATGCTGGAGTGAGTTGACTGACTTAATTACTGTTAGAGTAAATTACAGATTATGTTACCAGAGCACTGAAAATATATATTTGGAGAATAAAAGGCTATTTCTATGAACATCTAGAAGTTTGCTTATGTAACAAAAAGGGGAACTTTTATGCATTGACAAAGGCGCCAACAATCATAATCAACTACAGGACTTTTATTAGGAATTGTATTAGCCCTACTGGACCATAAGAAACAAAACTCTGATTTATACAAATGGGGTTAATAAGGAAAGAGGTCACATGTAGATATTAGGAGAAATGAGGCCCTGATGTTTAACCATCTATCATGTGTCTGGCATTATCTCTCAATTCTTAGAAAACCCCCTAATTCATTTATTCTTAGAGTCAGAGCCGGTTCAGACCTCCATGGGGCCCTAGGCAAAATTCTGCTAAGGGGCCCTCCTAACTGAACCCAAAAAATTTTCAGCAGTCGCACCTGACACCCAGTGCTTCCACTCACCCCCCCTTTAAACATATTGATAAGGCAAATATTAATTCAGCTCCATCAAATCGGCTGCACTTGTCTTACTTTCATATACTTCAAATGTAGGTGATTGTTTATATTATTATTTAATTCTTATTTATTTAGCACCATTGTCATAATGTTTCACGAGTTTTATTTATTCACTAAGATATCTGCATCTATATCTGCCTGTGGGCTATCCAAGCAAACAGAATTCAATCTTTACTTTCAAAATTACTTTCCATTTTGTATAAGTGCAGTTGTAACTATACTACAACTAAAATGATAGAAGCCAGCAAGACGCACACGGAGCCCGGGGTTCACCCGCCCTGTTAATGTTGGTTAAACACGGACTAGTCCCTCCCACTCTCCCACCCGGTGAGGAGCGTTACCTGACTGCTTCACTTTCATGCTGTTTCTTCCTCTTGTTTTATTCCCCGAGGGATAACTCCACTTCATCTTGCTGGGCTGATGCACATGCACTGGGAATCTGACGTCCGCGACGGATGGTCACGTCGCCATGTTTTTTTTTGTTTTTTTTCACGGGGCCTCTATTAGTTTGCGGGGCCCTACGCAACGTGCGTAGTGTGCGTATTGGGTGAACCGGTACTGCTTAGAGTTGATACATTTCAAGGTATGACCATTTACCAAGAGAGTAAACTGGCCATATTAGAGACAGCAAACCTGTGAACCAAGAGCGACGATGAGCCTGAGAGTTCACAGCAACCTGTTTAGTCGAACGACTGTTTTACCGACACACAATGATTCTTTTCTTTTGTGTAGGATTTGTTACTGAAAACCATGTGAATTTCTTTTCAATGCAAACATGCACTTAGTTAATATCCTATCTACCCTGTGACTTTTTGACTGTGTACTTAAATGTTGTGTGTACTTACTGTATATATTGTGTGCATACTTATATCTCTACTTATGTTTGCACCGGGGATCAGAGAAAAACTGCATTTCAATCCCATCTATGTCCTGTGTATTTGGCAGAAATTGACAATAAAGTTGACTTTGAGATGAAATTTGTGTGTCTTGTTCTTATATAAACTTATATTTATTTCGATTTTAGTCTCTTCTATTTTGATTCTATCCTTCTTTATCTGTACTTGGGCTGCAATTACATCTAAATTCGATAAAGAATTATCTTATATTTACATTAATTTAGCACATTCAGAGCTACTGCACATGATTTTAAACTCTTGTGTCTATTATCTCATACAGCAGTTGTTCCTGTCATGTGGTTGCAGTTATCTACCTGCAGGCTGGTGCTCTGGTCAGAAAAAGGAGAGCTGAAAAAAGTTGTCACGATGCTCATGACCGTCTCTGTCACATAGCGCTCCAGAACGGTGTCCGCATGTTTACGATCACTCGTATTGTTGCACACCTGGAAAACCCCAAAACACAACGGATTTAAGTGTTATTCTAATTTCCTGCATGATGTTGTTTCCATAGAGACCCCACTTGTTCCTTACCCTGCAAATGTCAACCAGGAAGTTCTCAAAGAGTTTCCACATGTGGTTTGAGGTGTAGATCTCCTTCATTTCCACCTCAGTATCCACGTAGCAGTGGTTCAGGAAGTTGATGTAGGCGATCTTCACCTGAAACGTCGTAATTACGGTTTAGGTGAAAACATGGTTCCAATACAGGATGGTTGATGATCAAATGCACGGAAGTAATATTAGTTGAAGAATCTGTTATTTCAACAGTGCTTTATCAATACAAATTTTTAATGTCTTGCACAGTGCAGAAAAAGTTTAAAGAGAAAGAAGACAAAACATATTTACAGTCAAGTTCTGTTGGAGATTGTTTAAAATAAAAAAAATATGATAGAACACAAATGATGCCATGATGCAGTTGCTAATGTTGTCATTTATTATTTAAGTCTATCAATAAAAAATAAAATAAAAAGTTGTTGTGAATCTGGATCAGGGAGCAGATCCAGGATTTTTTCCCCCCACTATCTTCAAAATTGCAAGATGTTTGTTGATTTCGCAGAGAATAATTAATGGATCTAGTGAATTTAAATGTGGTTTCATTAGGGGACTGCTGGGCTTTGGCAGAGGTATGACATTCTAGTTACAGTGACTGAACTGAGATACAATGAGAACCTTTTTTAAGCCTCTTATCGCTGCCAAATTCTCATCATATCTTTGTCCACGGCTGCTCTCACCTCAGGGATGCAGTCCTCGTGTGTTACCACACGCACTATGTCATCCAGTGGTAACAGAGAGTTACACTTGATCTCTGTGTAGACGTTTTTGCCCTCGGTGCAGACGGCCAAGAGCTCCACCAGGTGAATGTGGTACATCAAAGGACTGTTTTCATCCATGCGGTCACGCTCCGACCGCATCATCTGGACCAATGTGTGGAAGGAGGCACGGTCATTATAGAAGACCAAAACGTCTTCGCCGGCATTCACGAGCTGTAGGGAAGAAACATAAACATGCACAAATGCATCAGTATGTAACTGCAGCACAGTTGTCAAACAGACAGGTAGAAACGAAGTGTGGAAACCAGAGATGACCTCTGCCATGACGATGTCCTGACACTTCTTGATGAACTTATTCTCTGCTTTGACAATGGTCTGCAGGAACTTGAGATACTGGACGTTGCGGCCGTGAGTCTCGATGCAGTGGACAAAATGCTGCACCACCCGCTCGTTGATCTCACTACACAGTTGGAAGTTGTTCATGAAGATGTGCTGCATGGTGATGGCTTCCAAAATCTGGACAAAAGCAAAACGGGAGAAGCTTCAGAACAGAAAGCTGCTGATTAAAGTCAAAACCAGGGATTACGAGTATTGAGTAGTGCATGACCGAGCATGACCTCTCACCCCTGGGTTGAGGAAAAGGTTGATGTGCTTGTGCAGCAGGGCTTGGTTCTGCTGGTTTCCTGCACAGAAGTTCTGCAGGAACTGATGGGCGAGCTTCATGATGTCCTGCATACGTAAATCTTCTCCCTGGAGGTGAATATGCCTGATGTGAATATATGTCAAAAAAAGCATGTCAGAGAGCATCATTTCCCTGAAAGCTGCATACATACCTTCTCATAGGGGATCTGTAGGAGCTCTAGGACCACGGCATGAGCTCCCATATTCCTCAAAAGTCTCTGCTGCTGTTTCTTGCTCTTCCTACCTGATAGACCTTCTTGGACACACAACCTGCTGAGCCGCAGCAGGATCTGAGCAGGAAAAAAGAGATACAAAAGGTAGGAGGTGAGATGAAATAAAATGCGACATAATGTGCAATTCATGCAGATTGAAGCGTGTTAAGTGCAAGAGGAAATCAGACAGTGACCTCTTTCACCACTCTGTAGTTGTAACTGCTCGTACTTTCTGGTTTCTTCGGTTTGTCTGTGCCCCCAGAGTCTCCCTACGGAAAATCAGAGGCAGTGTGTCAGAGAACAAGAGTTTTACTGTCACTGAGATACTGCAGTATAGTTGGATTCTTCTGACAAACAACATACTGAACCTTTTTATTTTCTGACTCAGTGGACAGTCCCTCTCCTGTGTCCATGCCTTCATCAGGCCCCTGCCTCTTGTACACCCACAGCTCAGACTTCTCCACGATGGAGCGCAGCTGGTCCAAGTCCGACTTTATTTGCTTGTAATTTTCTACATCTTGGCTGGTGACCAACAACTGGACCTATTAACACAAACACTCAGCTACCAGGTTTTTTAAAGCAAGACCTGCTAAAGCTAATGCGGTCTAGTAAAAAGAGCCCAGCAATAAATCCTCCCTTTATGAAAGTGACACTGTTCAGTTGTTGGTTCTGTTGATGCTGTAAGGCTTCTATATTATGAATGTCAATGAGTGTAAGCCAAATAACAAGGACACCACTGTGTAAAATACAATAAAGTTCAACAGCACACTAAACAATACATTAATTTTCATCAAAATATGGTTTATTTTAATTGACTGTTACATTAGACTGCATTCTTTTTAAGTTAAATCTTTTAACTTATTAAGTTAAAAAGTGGGGTGCAGACATGTAACAAACAAATAAACAAAAGTATCCATTGGGAAACAGTACAAACAAAGTAGACATAGTAGAATACAACACAGCATCACTATATAAGACAGCAAAGATGAGCTGAAATCCAATGTGCAAGAAAAAGTGTTCTAGTGGCATAATTTATTTAAATGTAGTATAGTTAGGTAGTTAGGTTACCAAGTAAGATTTTAGGGGTATGAGGGAGGACTCCATCCCCTTTAAACCAAAATCGCCCCTTGATTACCTGTCAATTCAATTCCATCCCCTCTCAGAAACATTACATGCATCGGTTGCCATTAAAACATCAATAAAGATTTTACCGTCATTGGCGGGCGGGCAGGCATGATTAAGCATAACATCAGTAGATAGTGCTTTTGCTGTGCGCATTCACGCAACAAGGATACAATTCTCTTTCTCTTGCAAGGGTGTCATCCCCCACACCCCTATCTCAACCAATCCCCTCCACAAGTTAAAACACCAGTAATATTCACACCAAGAATGAAAAAGTCGTATAGTGGGCACTGGTACATATTTGACTATTTCCATCCCTGCGAGAATAGCATGAATAGTTTATGAGCTTATTCTGTGAGTCATGTGGGTAAAAAGAATCAAAAGCACCTTAGGTAATAAGAAATAGTATTCTCTGTGTGCATGAGGCGTCAGGGTACCTGCTTGAACGCCTGCAGAACCTCCTGCCTTTGGCTGAAGTGCCGGAAGAGCAGATGTAGAGCTCTGGACACCAGAGGTGGATAATCATGCATGGTTAAATGGAGGAGGACCCTCAAGAAGGTACGACCGCCATGATCGTCCAGGTCCAGCGGGGTGTTCTCCTCACTGAAATCACATTAAAAAACACACTGACAATGAAAACATTTCATCTTTTGTGTATTTTTATGATTCTTTCTGTATAGAGATGGAGATACCTTCCACCAAAGATCCCTTCGGCCTGCTCCTCTATGTGTTCGAAATCCAAAGCACCTGGAATCACAGTATCAGTATTTTTGGTGACTAACACAGTTCTTCTCATTAGCCACATCATTTGTGTAAAAAACGCTGTATATGAATCTGACCTGGCATGTTGTTTGGTCCCTCCACTGCTCCAGTTACAGATAATTCACTCTGAGAGTTACTCTCATCAAACTCCCTCTTAAATATGGACAGCAGACAGGAGATCCTGTAGTCCAGACGGACATTCAGGATAAACTACAGGACAGGACAGAAAATAATAGTGAAGTGAATATACCTGTGTAGTATATACTTGTACATGCATGTACGTATAATGGTGTGTCCTTTAACCTGCAGGATCTCTATGATTTTAAGTTTGGTGTCCATGACCAGTATGTCCTGCTTCTCTGGTTCAGTCTGAGTCTTGACTGTGTCTCCATTCGAGCTGTTGGTGGACGTTGTGGGAAGGAAGCCTCCTCCTCTAAGAACTACTTGGGACATCAGCTCCCCAACCCCATGAATAGACCTCATCACATTACTGCCTAGAAACATGTGTACACACACACACACACA